TCCTTTTTAACTAGTTTGTCATCCTTCTTTGAGTCTGGTTTTTCACCTTCAGATTCTGAAGCTGAATCTTTGCCCTTCTTTGTATCCTTTTTAACAGGTTTGGCATCCTTCTTTGAGCCTGGTTTTTCACCTTCAGATTCTGAAGCTGAATCCTTACCCTTTTTTGAATCCTTCTTATCTTTTTTATCATCCTTTTTTGGACCTGGTTTTTCACCTTCAGATTCTGAAGCTGAATCTTTGTACATCTTTGTATCTCTTCTAACTGTTTTTGAATCTGTTTTTTTACCTTTATCCTTATCTTTGTCTTTCTTTGCATCTTTTTCCTTCTTTGTATCTGTTTCTGACTCTGATATGTCCTCTACTTTCTTGTCTCCTTTACCTTTCTTAGATATTTGTGTTCCTCTAATATCCAATTTAGGAGGTGGAACTGGTTTCTCTGGGGGCTTCCTCCTGGCAGCTAAATAAACAGATGGTCTTTCTGAAATTCTCATTAAAGAATGGTGCATCCATAATGGTCGCCTATGAGCTGGTTGGTCTTCATCAATTTTCTGAAATATGAGTTAGAATAATAATGACTAATTTGTGTTTGAGTTATAAAGTTTTCATTAATAGATAACACATATATTTTAACATCAACTATGAAAAGATTACAGAATTTTATAAAAAATGGGTAAATAGTAGATTTCATAGTTTATTCTGCTTTATAACCTTTGTTTAAATTAATGGAGAAGTATGCTTTAATTGAGACCTTTCAATTTAGAAGATCTTTATATTTCTCTCAATATTTTATGTTAAAATTGCTACAGACCTCCATTGACTCATGGTATGTCAGAACCTCTCTTCAAAATCAGAAGAGGCTTTTTTTCATTATTGACTCAGTGTTTTTGAGAATTCTTAGAATATCTCACCCACCCTCCATTTCTAGACTAACTCAGAAACTAGCTATTCTTAATATCTAAATAGTTTCAGGGCAAGGCACATGTCTGTCCCTATTGTCACTTTTAAGGTCTCTGGAAGCTAGAATGGTACCTGTGTTTAAAGGCAAAAGCCCAAAATTTCCTCTTGGTAGGCAGGATATAAATTGAGTGTCACCACATAGGTAATATTTTTAATAATAAAATCTGTAATACTCAGTGAATGGTAATTTGAGAGAAATGGTGTATTATGTTTCAACTCCTAATTTAGTATTTGCATAAATGGCAAAAATAGCTAATTGTAGTAGAAATGTTACCAAACAACGAGAAATAAATTCAGTAAAGAAAAAAAAGGAAAATAACTTTGATCATTACTGATGGGATATAGTTCCTAAAACAAATAAGATTTGATGAAAGCATTTCTTTTGAACATTTGCATATCATACCTTGGCTTCAGAAATACTTATCTGCCAATACTCAGAATCCTGAATTCTATGTTATGGAAACTGAAGGAGAATCTTCATCAATGTGTAAGTTAATCCCATGATTCTCATAAGGGAATTTCTCTACCTGGGGAATATTTCCTAAATTTTTATACAAACTGTTAAAATTAGGGTCAGCAGAATTCCTTGTTACTTAGACATAGTTTTTAAAACGTGAGGTTACCAAAAAATGATACAAGGGGACAATTGTATACAAAAAGATGCAAATTATATATATAAATGTATACACATCAAACTATATATGTGTGTATATATATAATTATACACATAAGTATACTTATATAAGTGTATATGCATATGTGTGTATGTATGCATATGTATGTAAGTGTGTATATGTAAGTATACTTATAAGTGTGTGTATATATATATATATATACTTTTTCCAAGTAGTAGGATTTAAATTATCTTAACTTGGCTGTTCAACATGGCATTTAACAGTCACATGTCAATTTACCTTATTTTAATTTAATTTAATTTAAATGTAAAATTCAATTCCTAGTCACACTACTCTCATTAAAAGTGTCTAACAGCCACATTACACTGGAATGATACAAAATATTCCTGTCATCATAGAAATTTTTGTTGATAAGGTCAGATCTATAACACAGATAACTATACACATATTACTACTTACTACTATGTAATTAATAACTATTTATTGCAATAATTATTTGACTTTGTTAATACTTACAACTACATTTTCCTGTAATTGAGAAGGTTTTGTTCTCCTTTTTTTTCCTGGGCGCGGTGGTTTGGGAAATACCAAGGCAAAGTGTTGCTGATTCCATGATTTTTTGCTTAATTCACTGACTACAAGAAGGAAGATAAAATACACACTTTGGCAAAAATAGTTAGAAATTAATAAGAACTGAAAGGGCAGTACATATCATGTAAATGAATACACAGTGATTAAAATTATTCCTTCATTATTTGGTAATGTTTTGAATTTCCTGTCATCAATATAAGCAAACAAAAATCGATTTTTTTCTATTCTGACAAGTTGTAGAGATAATTATCTAAAATAGTCATTGCAAAGCCAATATAGCCTATAATATAAATGGAAAGAAACAGTTTTACTACTTCTTCTTCCATCTATCCCTTCCAGTCTTGGTTTTTGCTTACTCTTTTAGTTACACTACAATTCCCTTGGGAATTATAATATGCCCTAGAATACTGATATCTTGTATAAAATATTTAGTAATTAAGGGCAGTGCCTGTGGCTCAGGGAGTAGGGCACCAGTCCCATATACCAAGTCCCATATACCAAGAGTATATGGGACTGGTGGCAGGTTCAAACCCGGCCCTGGCCAAAACTGCAACAACAAAAGATTTTAAAAAATTAAATTAAATTAAAAAAAAAAACTTAGTAATTATATTACTGAAGTGCCAAGTCTTACAATCTCCTTAGTTAGTAATCATTTTTCAGGCTACAAGAATTTCATTACTGTAGATGAAAATGTAATAAGTAAACTGGCAAATAAAAAGTCTGTAGAAGGTGACTAGGAGGAAAAAATTATCTGGAAGCTAAAATACGAATAATTAATACATATATTTAAGTTACAAATGAGACCAATAAGAGAGTTCATAATTGAACTTAAATATTTTCAGTATTACTGTGTAGAGAAAATAGACTTTTCCTATGAGTTTCCCAAAGATACCTGCAGAAACAATAGAAAAAATGTGCAGAAGGAAAAACATAAAGAAGCTCAACATATGAGGGAAAACCACATGCTCAATAACCTTGACAATCACATAAATCTACCTTGTCTAGTAGTAGAATTTGTGGATATTTATAAGACAGATCCAATCTAATATGAATACAGTAGAAGATATTTCTGACTTGATTATTTTATCCAACTTCTACATTGCTTTTCAACTGAAAGATTATCTGATTGGATGATTTCTAATATGTATTTATGTCCACCTTTATGTTGCTATACATGTTTTCTTAAATTCCTTGGATTTAAAAAAAACACATGTATTTAAAAGGTATTCACTGAATCCATAAGAATGGTTCTTTAGAAATAAAAACTCAATAATTCTATCTCATGATAGTTTTGCTTTCTTTACTTTGAATGGAGGGTAATAACCACTTATCCCTAAAATTAATCATGCACACTTTAATATAAATATTAAACTCTTTCTTACCTGGAATGTAATTATCATATGTCCCAAAGTTTATTTTTTGGCTATCAAATAAAAGAAAAAGGTTTTCATTAAATTATACAAAATCATTGTATTTGATGATTATTACTATACATAAACACTTTCAGCCACTAACTAGAGATATGTTTTGCATTCTCAGATCAAATTATTATGTAAGATTATTTCATCCTAAGGATAGTAGAGATGAGAAAATGTGTTTTCAAATTTCAAGAGAACTAAAATACTATGAGCCAATTAAAAAGTGTATACATACATACACAAGCGTACACACACACACACAGTGCCAACACGAGTATACATTTTAAGAAAAGGGGGAAAAACCTGTCATAAAATTGTAATACTCAAGGAATGTTTGAATTCTACAATTCCAAGAGATATAAGATACAATACACAGGATAATAAACATTATCTATATATATTTAATATAATGATTTTTTAAAATGTATTGATTCAGGTTCATTTGGGGGACAAAGAATTAGGTTACATTATTGGCATTCATTAGGTAATGTCCCTCTTATAATTGTGTCCCACCCCCAGAGGTGTGCCATACACCATAACCCCCCACTGTGCCCCTCCTCCTGCTCCCTCATTCCCCTGTACCCCACCTTAAATTGATTTGAGTTTTTCTGTTATGTGGATACATATTAGATTATCTACTGGATTCATATTGCATACTTGTGATACCTTACTAAGAAGAGTGTGTTCTAACCCTATCCATGTTAACACAAAAGATGCAAAGTCTCCATCTTTTTTAATGGCTGAATGCTATTCCATGGTTTACGCTTACAGCTTGTTAATCCATTCCTAGGTTAGTGGTCATTTAGGTTGTTTCCACACTCTACTGATTGTAAATTGAGCTGTGATAAACAGTCTAGTGAAAATGTCCTTATGCTAAAATGATTTTTTTTTTTCTTCTGGGTAGATGCCTAATAGTGGGACTACAGGATCAAATGAGAGGTCAAAAAAAAAAAAAAAAAAAAGAGCAACCAACCCCATCTATCACTGGGCAAGAGATATTAACAGAACTTTCTCTGATGAAGACAGATGAATGGCTAAAAAACATTTGAAAAAATGCTCATTTTCCCTGATTGTAAGACAAATGCAAATTAAAACTACCCTGAGATATTACCTAACCCCAGTGAGAATGGCCCACATCAAAAAGTCTCAAACCTGGGATGGTGGCATGAATGCAGAGAGAAGAGAACACTTTTACACTACTTGTGGGACTGCAAACTAACAAAAATTTTTGGAAGAAAATATGATGGCTCCTCAAATAAAGCAAAATATTACAATTTTTTAAAGATGTAATTGGCTTTTTTTTTTTTTTTTTAGTAACTTATGAACCAGACAACAACCAGTCTACAAAACAGACAGGAGCTCCACTGGGCATGGAAGAACAGTCATTTTTGGAAGGTAGCTTGAGAAGAAATAAGAAAAAAAGCCTAATGAAAAATGTGTATTGGTTAATAACAGATTACTTTTCTTGTCTTGGTTAAAGAAGAGGCTTTTTTATTCCACTGGGTCAGGTTGCCTGGAGAATTTTGATTGGTTGCTGTGAATCTCCTATATTTTAGAAAATTGATCTACTTGGGGGATTTGGCTATTATCTCTTTCCTGATTTCTCAGAATATCAGATATTGCAAGTAAGAGGCTTAGGTTTCAGTTTGGTGACATGCAAATTTAGTAATAGTGACAATTTTTTTTTTTTTTTTTTTTAGACAGAGTTTTACTCTGTCGCCCTGGGTAGAGAGCTACAGCATCTTCATAGTTCTCAGCAAACTCAAGTGCATAGACTCAAGGATCTTCCTGGTTCAGCCTCCCTCGGAGCTAAAACTACAAGCCCCCACAATATTCTATTTCTGCCTAATTGAGCAATTCTGCTGAATTGTTCTATTTTTGATTGAGATGGGATATCTTTCCTACTCAGGCTGGCCTCCAACTCCTGAGCTCAAGCATCCACCTACTTTGGCCTCCATAGTGTTAGGATTACAGGAGTGAGCCACTAGGGTTAGTCAAGTATTATGATTTTAATACAGTTTATTTTTCCTTTTCTAAAATGTGTATACATTTTTGATACCTTTTGTAGATATGAGTGTGTGTTTGTGTGGGTATAATAGTTATATAAACTCATCAACTTGCAGATCTAAAATAGATACTTTTTTTAGTTCACAGATTTGCCATTGAATTATTTTTCTCATCTCATACTCCAAATTCTCTTGTAAGTAAATTTGAAACAAGACACCACTTTATAAACACGTGTATAAGCAAAAGATCCTCATATATTCTTACAACTTCCCAAATCTAATTTATTAAATGTCATATTTTTGAATATATGCATATATGTGTCACTGTGTACGGTATTAATAAGGAATTTCGTTGTTTTTGTTCTCTAAGAAAATATGTGCTGGATGCAATAGCTCATAAGACAATAGAGTAAGACTCTGTCTCAGAAAAAAATAAAAGAAAAAGAAAAGAAACAAAATCTGAAAAATACAAAATAAAACCATGTTGCAATTTTTTTTAGTTATAAATTTACATTTGTTTTATTACTATATGAGCATGTTTGTTCCCATCATGAACAGTTTTATTATTTAATATTTATTTATTTGTAATGGGGATCTATAAGACTTGTTAAAGAAATATTGTTTTATATTGTTTTGTTTTATTACAGACGTAGGGCCATTGTTGACAATAAGTGAGTTTAAAACTTATATACACAGACATTCATATAGTATTTCATTACTTTTGACAATATCTATATTAATAATTAAATACATGAAAACAGTGTCTTGGTACCTAGATTAAAGGATAAATTTCCCAGTAGGAAATTTGGCACATATTTGTTATTCCATAAAAATCCAAACTGATGGCTCAACATTCGTAGCACAGTGGTTACAGTACCAGCCACATACACCATGACTGGCAGATTCAAACCTGGGCAGGGCCTGATAGACAACAATGATAACTGCAACAAAAAATAGCCAGGCATTGTGGCAGGTGCCTGTAGTCCCAGCTACTTGAGAGGCTGAGGCAAAAGAATCACTTAAGCCAAGGAGTTTGAGGTTGTTGTGAGCTGTGACACCGCAGCCCTCTACTGAGGGTGACATAGTGAGACTCTATCTCCCCTCCCCCAAAAATCCAAATAATCCAAGTTGATTAATTTAATCAAATTTAATATTTGTTGACTAAATAGGTTATTTAATCCAGTGTTTACTTAAATAAGTATCTGCCCCAAAGTTACTCCCCCCCCATATCTGAATCTCTAATTTAGTTCTAGCCAATATACATTTATACACTACTGAAGAACTTTTGGTTCTCAACCATGATTATGAACTGCTAAATTTCAAATTCTTTGAAAGACAAAATATTTCAGGTTCATAAAACAATATTTTTAAACTTGGTATTTTCAAAATGGTACATAGGAATTATTTATTAACTGATTTCTCTAGAAAATATTCTTTGATCACCAAGCAACTGAATTAGAAAGAAAAATATAGTTTTTCTAGAAAATGCATGTTTAAAAAATAAAATTCCCTCTAAAGAACAAATGGTCAAGCAGAAATCACAATGAAATTTGTTTTAATAAGCCACTGACCAGTAGTCCATACCAAAAATTATGGTACACTGCTAAAAGTTCATAGAGTAGATTTTATAGTTTTAATGCCATATATTAGAAAAAAATAAACATTTAAAACCAATGTATTAAATCTCTATTAAACTTAGGAGAATAGTATAAGAAAAAAGTAGAGGAGCGGAAAATACATTCCAAATTATTTTTGAGACAATTATAAATAACCCAAAACCTCTCAAGCTTACTATCAGAAATGTATATTTCAGATGAATATCTTTCATTAACATAAATATGCATTTTTTAATTTACCAAATCTAATAAAAAATAATCTGACTATCTCAGTACATGCTGAAGAATTTTTGAAGAGGTAACTTGTAATAAAAAAATTCTGAGAAAACTGGTAACAGAAAGCATAGCCCTCAAAAGTAAAATCAAACTAAATGAAGGAATATTTCTTATCTTTTCCCACATATCAAAAACAAAGCAAAGATACTCACCTCTACTATGTCTATTCAATATTGTAATTATGTCTTTTTTTCCAAAAGAAGATAAAATTATTGTCATAGAAAAAAATAAGCAGAGGACCTGATTGGATAAATAGACTATCCAATGTTATCTACAAGAATAATTTTTAAAGCTGTTAAGCAAATGTAATAGAATTATGTACTATAGGATCTAATTAAATTAATTTTATTTCTATGCTACAAAAATTTCAAAATGTACATTTAAAATAAAATTTACAATAATATAAAGCAAATTATATAGAAATAAAGTTAATGAACTATCTATAAGATTTGTTCTGTAAGAAATATGAATGATTCCAAAAGAGAACATTCAGAAATGAAAGAACATATACAATGCTATTTTAATGTATGCAGCATTAGATGAGATGTTGCATAGTAAATTAATAGTCATTTATTAGAGAGGACTCTAATAATGACCAGACTCTAACACAGTGTAACTTTCTGGAGTGGTCAAGATTCTTTAAATATTTCTTAGGGTGGATTAGGTTAGAATTAGTGAACAGTCAATTGATTTTGAATCTCTTTCATTTTTACTGAGAAAAGTTAATAGGAAACTCAAATAGCAACACCCGAGTTCTGAATAATTATGTAAATTTTCATTAATTGCATTAATTTAATCTTACAGCTAGATATCATTTTTCCTTCCCTTCCATTAAGTCCCACTCTGTTGGTGAGAACATAATCTCTTTTCTTACTTCTCAGGGAAGGTCATAAAATTCTCTAGCTTGGGTTGCATTTGGATTCTATTTTCAACATTTGTTAACTTAAGAAAACAATCATAAACAATAAATAATATATCTCATCTTTTAACTTTTAATTTTGAAACATTTCCATATGAATGAAAATATATTTTTGTTCTTTTAAATTAAGTTTCCTTAGACTAATACCTAATCTAACAATTTACCCTAAAAGGAGGGGGGGAAATGTC